CTTGATTTATTGTTCACTTGATAAGGACCACTATCACATGGTCGAAACGTTGTGGAAGATTAATAAATTGATTTTTGCTAATTTGGTCGATTATTTGATTTTCCTATAAATATTTAAATATTTTTCAGGCGATATTTTACGTAAAAAAAAATAAACACTTAAATCAGTAATGCGCGATATTTTTTCCTACAATAATGGCGACTTCTTCTGGTGATTTAAATGCCGTATAGTGGTCTTACGACTGTCGAGCTAAAAGTGTTGACTTGTTGCTCGCATCGTCAAAAATAACCATTTGCAGAGGAACATTAGAAGTACATTAGAGACGAGACTGTGGAGTTTATGCAAAGCGTGCGAAGTACATGTGGCCCGTTTCCCCTGAACTTCCATAACGACTTTGCTGTGCATAGAAGTGAATAACCGCATCTCGTGGTGCTCACTCGAGTTTTATGCTATTAGGATGCGCCAACAATTTATAGGAGAGACGAAGAGTAATGACAATATGTAATGCGAGAGCTCGTTATGTATATTATACGCGTATTCAATCATTTTTCGATGATTAATTTCGGAATCAAGTCTTCGAAGAAATACTTTGTTGAAGTCATTATTATTACGTCAATAATATCCCGCAAAGGATATATGTATATAATTTTTTAAAAAAGACCGATTCAATTTTCAGCAAGGAATGCAAAATATCGACAAATCGAAAACTGATTTGTTCAAGAGTTATCATTAATTTCTTTTTTAAATATTCTTTGAAATTATATATATATATATATATATATATTAAATTATATATTTATACATATATTATTTTTAAAAAATATTTTTTAAAAGAAAATAAGGTAAAGACACTTTGCAAAACAGGTCAACAAATCTATTTTCGATTTCTCGTTACACATTTATTATATTCCTTACTGAAAACTATACGGAGAGAATTTTCTCTTAGAATTTATTCTGAAAATTATGGGTAATCGTGGGACAATATAATATTGGAAGAATTTGTATAAGAATTTCTTGAGAGATTAAAATTTATCACATAAAAAATATTAATATGGTACAGTAAATTTTACTATGTATAGTAAAATTAATCGAATATATTTTATATCTTATTGTGGTATTAATATATTTTATTGTGGTAAAAATATTAATCAGAGAAACTCTTATAAAATTCTTTCATTATCATATTGTTCCATGATTATCATGATTTCCAGAGTAAATTCTAAGAAAAAATTCTTTCTGTGTGTGAATCATTTTTGAAATAAATTTCAGTCTATCTAAAATTAATCAAAAAAACAAGATTGATAAGATTTATTGTCTAAATTATGATTTGCAAATTTGTGTTACTTTTATAAATTGATCCCTCCCTTCTCAGTTATCTATATTTTGATATTTTAATTCAACTTTCCTACGTTTATCAGATGCACCTATATATTCCAATTATCGCAATCTTTAACACACACTGAAAAAAAATTATTAACTTGACAAAATATTATTTTATTAATTCAACATATAAAAATATTTAAATTAAACATAAAATATAACATATTAAATCTAACAAAATTATATTCGTCTCAAATATTAATATACGTGCAATTAACAAAATAGTAATTTAGTTGAAAGGTTTAATCAAAGCTAACAAATTTTTTTAGCGCACGTGACGTTGTTGGTTTTCTTTTCTTAAAAATATTCTTAAATGCTCTTTCTTAAATATATTCTTAAATTTCTAGTGAAGATATATGTACGTTTAATGCCTCGATCTCGCGTTTGCACGATCGAGTGCGTGCGCGAAAATACTCGATCGGACGATGAACGATCGACGACCTCGTTAACGTCGACGACACTTTGCACCTGCAAATGCAACAGTCACGCATACGCGCGCACCGCAAACACTGGTAGAATATTCACCCCGGATACTGACTAAGCGCTAATGACATTGGATTTAAATCACGCGTATGCAAACGTATATTAATTGTCAACCCGATGTCCAACCTTTCGGTCTGCGCGTAATCTCTCTCCGCCGGCGTGGAATATCTAAATTATCCGATAAATAAATCACCCGATATATATATATATATATATATTATATATGTATATGTATATACTCCGTTTAAGTAGATAAGCAGCGGACGATTGCCTTTATAATCGCGCATGTCTACCCGCATTACTCACGTGAATATACATATAGTTTACATATATTATCTCTCTCTTTTCTACGAAGTATTAGTAATTTTGATGATTATCCAATATACTATTTTTTCGCGAAATGATATATTAACGCGTAAAAGAAAATTCGCTTCTCCCAGATTCCACTCCCGATGGAAATGCAACCTAGAAATTACGGGAATCATTACTACTTCCCTTCACGCGGATCCTTTCCCGCGAGATGAGATGCGATCTAATAAAGACCCCTTCCGCGTTAATGCAACGTGCTTTCTATACGCGCGCGCGGTACAAAAGTCATCGTGCAGCCACTATATGCCGGAACTATACGCGGCTTCATTTGCATGTCAAAGGAGAATACGGTCGTTTATGCTATCCGGTGCATACCGAACGAGCGGTAGCAATGATCGCACGAAGGTCGGTAGTGGAACACACACGCATATGTGATTCGAATCCCTCCGCGAAATCCGCGACGAGATATATAAATCCGTGTGTAGGGTGCGAAAATCGCATCCCTCTTTTCCCGGGCTTTTGGGGGTCGAATAAATGGCCAGGCGCGATTTTCGACGGAGAGACGAAGATAGAGGTTCGACGACCGCCGCGCGATTGGATAATGAGCAGTGTCGCGGTAAAATTGAAGAGAATCGTTCTTCGAGTCGAATTACGCAACGACAGCACGACGATGATTACGTGCGACTGGCGACGGTTCTAACAGAACTGAAGAAATGAATAAAAGAAGGCGAGCCTCTCTCCATCTATCTTAATTGACGCGATTAATTTCAGACGTTCAACTTCTCACACAACTTCCTTTCCAGTTTAAATTTTTAAATATAATTTATAAAATTATATATTTAAATATATATATCATATATAAAAATATATTTTTAAATTTATTTTTATATATTTATCTATATATATATGTCATATATATTTAATATATATATTTTTAATCATATAAAAGTGATTATTTGTAATAAAGAGCGATTCAGACATGGTATTAAATTGTATCGCAGCATGAAATCTTATTTTCGCATTTCATTATATGCGCCAAAAAGTCGCATAAAAAATGTAGAAATATATATACAAATTTACAAACTCAAAAAAGACTGATTGTTTATATGACTAGTTTGCTCTACAGCATATGTACATAATAATGGCTTATCAAGTTAAAAGAATATTAAAAATATTTGGTACAAACCTGTTGTCACAATATATTTAATATATATTTAAAAATTCGTAGAATTATTTTTATTATATCATTATATATAATAAAGAGCGATTCAGACATGTTATTAAATTGTATTTTGCAGCATGCGATCTTATTTTGGCATTTCATTATATGTGCCAAAAAGTCGCATAAAAAATGCGTATATTTGACATGTACCAGCGAGCGATTCAGACATGTTATTAAATTGTATTTTGCAGCATACGATCTTATTTTGGCATTTCATTATATGTGCCAAAAAGTCGCATAAAAAATGAAGAAATATATAGAAATATACAAACTTAAAAAAGACTGATTGTTCATATGACCAGCTTGCTCTATAGCATACGTAAATAATAATGGCTTATCAAGTTGAAACAATATTAAAATATTTGGTACAAACCTGTTGTCACGATATATAAATATATTTAATATATATTTTGAAAAATTTATTAAATTATTTTTATTATCAATTATTTTATTATCAATTAAGAGCAATTATTTAATGAAGAGGGATTCAGACATGGCATTAAATTGTATTTTGCAGCATACGATATTTTGGCATTTCATTATATGCGCCAAAAAGTGGCATAAAAATGAAGAAATATATAGAAATGTACAAACTCTAGAAAGATTGAGTTCGTATTATTAGTTTGCTCTAATAATATAGCAGACATATATAATGATTTAACAAGTTAATGATATGATATTAAGAATATTTGTTACATACCTGTTGTCACAATATAGATATTATCAAAACAGACAGTGCCTTTATCGATAATATGAAATAATAACTGATATTTGTAAACACGAACGACCAACTTTATATTTAATTCTTCCGCGAGTGTTTTTTTATTTTACATAAAAATCTATTAAAAACCAATTTGTGCGAAAAATCTATTAAAAATATAATCGAAAATAAATAATACGTTACTGGCTCGAGACTATTCTTGACACAAAATTCTTGACATAAAAAACTTGAAAAAAATATAATTTTTGTTCTTATATCGCGACTTAATATTAATTATAAACCAAATGTAATATATTAGACAAATATTATATATTCGATATATGTATAAAAAAAGCAGTAAAGCATCGCTTAAAATTCAGTATTGAGTAATCGATAACAAACTTCCACATGCATGTAAATATTATAATTATTTCAATTAAATATAAAAAGTAAGATTAAAAAGTAAATCATGCTTATTCAGCATTATTATGATTAATTAAGATATTATTAGCAACGATGAATAAAATGTAATAAATAAAGCATAAGATAAATCGGAGTTCGTTAGTTTTTTTTTTAATTTTCATCATTACCATATCTGCATCGCGTTGGTCACTTCATGATAATAGTCACGTAGATAATAATTTTCCGCGCACAATTAGCATTGCCGGTAATCTTTATACGCCTATAAAATGTTCTATATTTAACTTTTCTATGCATGACACAATACTGTTTTGTTGCCGTAATCGTTCTCATCTATCGAATATATTTCTCTTATAAGCGCAGACTTTTTGTCCCAGTCTGCGTGTCGCGATTGTACGCGAACCAATTATTATTAATAGAACTGATTTATATCAGTGTCAATCATTTTCATCCACAAGCAAATATAATAAATAACGTGTTCGTTTTTTTACTCACCAACCGCTATTTCGCGCATTTATGATGTAATCGTAGACTCACCTTTTCGTCGAGATTGTTCAGGTCCGGCAGCTGAAAACAGAATAAAATTTACATATATTTCTGATTCACACTCGATACCAATCTATTAAAGTTTATATTTATATGACATTGAATCTATATTTATGTTTTGTAAATCGTTAACCATTAACTTCAGGTGAAGAAAATAGCGCTAACCTAATTGAGAGAGAGAGAGAGATGCGAGAACACACATACACACACACACACATATTAAAGTTAATAAGAGCAGAAATAATTGTACATTCAAACCAAAAAGTCAAATTAGACATTTAACGCTTACAATTAAACGCAAATTGATTAATCGATGCAATACTTTTCCCACGAAAATCTCCGAATTTGCACACTTCGCTCCAAACGACACCGCGTTTTTGGAAACTTTGACCGCGAAGAACATTGCGCGAAAAAAGTATAGTCGAGGCGCCACCTGTCGACGGCGTCGGCGAACTAATATTCCGAGGTTACCGACGATCGCGCGGCAGTGAGCCCGCGTGATTGCGAACCGCGACGACAGATGTCGCCCGGCGTCTCTAAAATCTCGAGACCCCTCGCAAATTGAAGGAAATTGATGTCAATTTATATCAATCAGCCGTAGCGACTGGTTACAATCTCGCGGACTCCGCGCACAACGTGCCGGGATTAATTTAATGTCCGATGTGCCCGACCGCTTGATTAACTTTCATGGTCGTCGTACGTGCTCCGAGGAAAAAGATATTGCGAAGCTCTACAAAATTATTTACACGGAGAAATTGAAATATAATCAATTATCGAATGCATATATATATTATAAATGTCCCCGTATTTAACGGTACAATTAAGAATAATTAATTGTCTCGTGAAATTAAAGCTATCGAATATTAAATATTATTAATGATATGTAATTAATTTTGCACACTTCATTGTATATTGCTATGTGGTAATTTTTGCAACATGCTTCCAGGAAGATAAAAGAATCGAAATAAATATTCGCATTGGAATAATTAAATCGCTAAAAAATATTTAGCATAATAATTATAAGTTAAATGTTTAATATATAATATTATATGTATATTATATTATATATATATATAATATTATTATATATTTTATACTATGTAAAATATATATTATATTTATATTATAAAGATTAATATATAATGTATGCATGTAATATATGTTTAATACATAATAATATACAATATATTATATATATTTTATATTATATACTATATAATATATTATATATTATATTATATATTATTTTATATATTATCTTTACATAATATAAATATAATGTAAATGTTTAATATAATATTAAAATATAATAAAATATGTAATATATTAAAATGTATAAAAATATAATAAAATATTTATAATATATAATATAAAAAAATATATATATAGAAAGAATTAAAAAAACGAAAAAAATATATGTTTCAGCTTTCCTACTGAAAAAAGGGGCGAAAAGAGATGTCTGAAATTCTCAGTATAAAAACTCACAGTATAAAGTATAAAATAATCACGATTTTGAATTTATTGAAGCGCGGATGCAGCAAGATGGATCGATCGGATTATCGGAAGGGCCCCGGCTATCAATTAAAGTTTTCTCGGCGGTCCTTTTATATCGCATCCCTTTCTTTCTCGCTCCTTTCTACCGAACAATTTCGAAATCGCTGACCGAGGACGGTCAGCGGAATCCGCTCCGGTAAATGCGTAATCGCGCATAAATCAGCTCGGAGAAGGAGCGATGCATATTTATGCGCCCGCGGCACCGCGAAATTAAATTCACACATTTCATCGGCCCTATAAAGCATGCGCATATTTTGCGCGACGGAATGCTGAGAATGCGAGTAGCAGTCGCGGAAGATGCAGATACGGGAAGAGATTCGTTCTTCCCGCCAAAATGATCTCCTCCATTGTCGCGCATACTAATTGAATTGCCTTCATTAAGACACGGATTCGTTAACGCATTGTCCTCTACGACGATGATTCTGTATTCCTATCCGATGATTTTATACATTTTCTCGACTGTCGAGAATTATTCATTTAATACGTTAAATCGCGATGGGTGATATTTAGCTTGATGATAAATTTATTGATAAATTTGTCATGCTGTAAACAAGAGGCAATATTAATAGGCTACATGATTAAAGATACAATTCACATTTCATCTTGCACGGTAAATGTCGAAATTATAGCAATTCATAATGTATATTTTTATCATTTTAGCTTATACATAAATTCAAGAGTAAAATACATTATATGGATTAATTTGCATACCAGTAATATTTTTCTCTGAAAAATCTGAAAAAATAAATTACATAAAATTAGTCATCAAAGTCATAAATACTTGGCAACACGTGTTCGTTAATTTATTTATTATTAAATACGCAATATATATAATAATAAATCATTTTATTAAAATATATATCACTCAATGTGTTTTCCTGGAGGACAATCCTCGCGAGATGTAGGTACAACAAAAGCGGCTACGTCGCGTGTAATTTTGAATATTTTATAGCCACAGGATAATTAACGGCGATAAGCAACTTAAGATTAATTTAAATTAAAAATAGTGCTTGAAAAGACTCTTTTCGGATAATAAAATAAACAAGATATCTTTATAAGCATTATATAGCATTAAAATTGTTGAAATCTTTCTTTTTTACTTTGTTTTTTATTTTTTATGAAATATTGTCACACACTACAGATGTTTTTTTTTCACTTTATTTTTACTGTCTAATTTATATTCATAAATTAAGTATTTTCATAAATTTAACATTTTTCTAATTTGATAAATTGCTACCACAAATATTACATTTTGCCTTATTCTTTTCAAAAGTAAAATATTGTTATACATTTAATTATGGACTCTCTGCGCACGTTTATTTTCATAAAGTGTGTACACGAATTAAATGTATTCTTAAATTTGATGCTGTTCCGTGACAAACCATGCTGATATACATACTTTCGAAATTCAAATATTGTATTTATCATTTTTCCAAATTATCAAATATTTAACAAGTACACTGAAAAAAATTGTCAACTTGATTAAACTTTTCAACAAAATATTATTTTCTTCATTCAACATTTTAAATTAAATATAATATATCAAATCGAACAAAATAATATTTAGTTGAAAGATTTAGTCAAGTGAAGAATTTTTTTTCAGTGTATGTTCAAAGTATTATTTTCTTTGACGAAAAAATAATTCATAAATTAAGTATATTGAATATAATAATTCAAATATTGTATTTATCATTTTTCCAAATTATCAAATATTTAACGAGTACACTGAAAAAAATTGTCAACTTGATTAAACCTTTCAACAAAATATTATTTTCTTCATTCATTACATTTTAAATTAAATATAATATATCAAATCGAACAAAATAATATTTAGTTGAAAGATTTAGTCAAGTGAAGAATTTTTTTTCAGTGTATGTTCAAAGTATTATTTTCTTTGACGAAAAGATAATTCATAAATTAAGTATATTGAATATAATAAACGTTTACAGAATACGCTCGATCGCGCAGCATATTGAGGGAAAATCCCTGAAGGAAGACAACACAAAGGCGGGCAAAGGCAGTTTTCTTGTATCTGCCCATCACAAAGTTTATCGAGGCAACCCTCCTTTCATGTCCCTTTCTCTTACATCTTGATAGCAAACTCTGACGAGATGGACCTTACGAGATTTAGCTTTCTCGTACATGTATTATCAGAATAGCTATGGATTTTCGGACTCTAAAAACGTCTTGATATATCGAGATTTTCGTATAAGAGGCACCGTATATCTGAAATAGTCTGAACCAGCCTTTCAGTCGAGTTGCTTGCTCGTTCGTGGATTCAATCATCCTATTGCTCATGTGACGTTACATCCAATCCAACACATCAAAGTTACTTGTTCTGTATTGACATTAGTGCTGCTAATTCGGATGAATCGCATCAAAGTGTGCTGCTCACGACGAAAAGTGCATTTAATTTGAATTGCCGAATTCAATTCGATTAGAAACATCTTAATTTACTGCCTTTTTACGCTCCTTCCACATCCAGTCGTGATTAAGCATACATATAAAGCTAATATTGATTGCTGTTTCATCGCAGAGAAATTTTCTCTCGATCAAAGAATTTCAATTCAAAATAATGTATAAAATTCCGACTCGTGCGTCGTATCAATTATTTTTAATAACAGAATTTTTTAAAAATGCAACATTTTAAAAATAACGTAGGATTTTCAACAATTTTAATAATATTTATATAAAATAACAATGTTTGCTGGTAAACAATATTATTTTTTAATTTGATTTATGTTTATGATAAATATTTTTTTGGATGAAGAATGTATCTCTAAAGCAAAAATAACTAAAAAATGACGAAAGATAAATGAATGTCAACGCTAATGAAAAACGATTAGTGAACAAGATAAATCGAAAAATTAAATATATATTATATAAATTTTGACAGAATATACATATCAATGTTACTGATGCGATAAAATTTATCAAACTAACAAAGTAATGTTCAAGTTAAAAACAAAATATTTTAGCCATGAAGTCACGTATAAAGCAACTCATAAAAGTAAAAGAATAAATGACGATATAATTAATAATAGGTACTGTATCTCCAAAAACGATAGAGCAATATGCATGATAAAAATTATCAAGCTAATATAGAGATAACGTCAAATTTAAGAAAACACTTAATTCGTGTACACATACTTTATAAAAATAAAAATGCAGGACAAAAACACATAGTTAAATGTGACAATACTTTTATCTTCAAAAATAATAAGATAAAATGTAATATTTATGGTAAACATTTATCAAATAGCAAAGATAATGTCAGATTTACAAAAATATTTATTTGTGCGAATATAAATTAGCTAATAAGAGTGAAAAAAATATTGTCAGCGTGTGTGATAATATTTCACAAGAAGATAAAAGATAAAATAATGTAAAAAAAAATATCCAATATTAAAATACCACATGTTTACAGACTTTCATCAATAATTGTAGACCTTATCAAACAACTGAAA